TTCGATCTAAGATAGAGGTGGAGCCTCAAGAAATGGTGTGCATTGACAATGTTAGGGAGGTTTTGATGGAGATGGGATAGAAGCAGGATGTGGGGAAGTTGTAGTTGGACTACTTGCAGGGTGATCTTCGATCAAGGCAATGGGAGGTGAGCTTGAAGCCGATGCAATTGACGGTGCCACTTACATCGTCAAGATCAACCCCAGTTCTGCTCCCCTCATTGTTGCACGCGTCATCTTCTGCACCCATCGATCGACTCTAAACAGTTGAAAAAATCAAACACTTTAGAATAATGTATACATCGTACACGTTAGAACCCATGCAATGAAAAAAGATAAAAGCTCATACCTCATAACGGTCAATCAACCGACCGATAATTCAATCCTCCGACCCTTGCAGTGACTACTGGATATACAGATACAGTGACTGCATCTATGGTTGCATCACCCACTGGATCTCCAACTACATTACATGCATATACATCTGCATGTCTCGATCAACCTTTGTCTACAATGACTGGATCTACACTTACATGTCCATCTATATCTCCGTCCACATTGAATATCAGTCCTTCTTCCACTGTGTCCGCATCTGTTGCGTCTTTTGCTTAAAGCTCGTAGTCATTTAAGGACACAGCAGCAAGTTGCACACCTGAGCATGAGGGGCAGCGGTAGAAGTAGGAGGAGAAGCAGCATGAGGAGTCGTGACAATTGCAGCAGAAGTAGCAGCATAAGGAATAGCAAAAGAAATAGCATGAAGAGCTGTAAGAGGAGAATCAAGCGCCTCAGCAGAACCTGGGGGCTTAGCAGCAATGAACTGGGAATAGACCTCCTCGTCCATGGTGCATTTCTACTTAACGTTTCTATTTGCAGTCCATTAGCTTCTTCCTTTGCTGGGGACTAAATTTTGGTTGACCCTCTAACTTCTATAATGAAACACATTGTTGCCCGTCGAAGATATTGACTTCAATGTCGGCCAAATATGCTGTCAACATCTCTTCCGCGGTCCTAACTATGCACAATTGTGCCAAAGCATACATTGCCATTAGGTTTAACCCTCATTGCCCTATGACAAAAAAAATAAATTTAATAAAATAAAAAAAATATGATTTCTTTACTCACCTTGTCTTCTCTCTCCAAACTTATAACATTGACGTCGAAGCCTATAGGCTTCTCATCACACTGCGATTTCAGCATTCTTGGGCAAACCTATCCAAACTGGTGCTACCTTCTAAACAAGCTTCGGATTTCAGGAATCACTTCCAACACCCAAAACTACATATCAATTATCAAACATTTTTTACTCACCTCATAAAATCTTATGTGAAAAGAATAATGATTAACATTAAGGTATGGCACACTACCTGAAATGCTCTTATAAATCCATAGAGGTGGTAATGTTTCTTCTCTGCTACTCCCACTGCTGGAGGTTCAAAACCCCTCATCAAGAAATCGACGGTTAAACTCTAAACGTATGTGCCTTATGGGAATGCATTTCAATCGTCGATGTTCTCGACCAGCGACAATAACCATGGAATCAATGATCATTTGTAGTCTTGACCGAATAAAACATTGCTCACGATCAAGACGAGGGCCTTCTTGGTCGCGTCTCCCTTCTGCTAAAACTACCCTCCCTTGAACGTCTCTAAAACTTGTTATATCTTCACCTCGTTTCCTGGTCCTCAATATCGCTGATGAATTCCTCCAAGGACGACCTTGTAGAGATTAATAATAAGGGCCAGTAGGCCACCAAACTTCAGTCTTGTCACTAGGTAGAGCACTATTTTCAAAAATTGAGCCTTCATTTTACTTATACCAAACCATAACTCACCCTCGATGGCGTCGAGTTCATTGATTTTGTGCAACATTAGGTTATGCACGAGACTAGCATAGAATAAACTCTTATCTAATTCGACGTCCATCATATGCCCAAAGCATGTTCTCTTCAAGGTTTCCAACTCATTTACTTTGCACAGCATCTCACGTATCATGCAGATGCGATCACTTACAGTGGATGTTAATGCTAGTGTTGAACCCCCACTGGTGCCTCGACACACAAAGCAAAGATTCCACAGTATCCTGCTCTGTTCCTGTGCTAGCCATCTGCACATTAAACAGATAATATTCCCATTCTAATTAATACCATCATTATAGATTAAAAGGAAAAAACAAAAGGAATTATTGAAAAATAGCTTTCCTTAGAAGCTCACTCGAAAAATGGCCCTCACAATAATTTTAACTGTTTTTAGACAACCCTGAAACAGAATAATTAAGGCAAATGTCAAGCATGGATTATTAAGTAAATCAACATATACATATTAAAGCATTATAATTAACCTAAAATAATATAGAATGAACGTAATGTCGATCATGCAATGCCATATAGATAAATTTCATGCAATTATGACCCTCACGCAATTTCATACAAAAATAGTCATGCAATGCCTTAGCAATAAGTCACGCAATTACTACCATTAAATCACACAATGATCTATAAACAAGTCACGCAATGCTAAGAATAACTAATCGAATCATGCACACACTAAGTGACGCCATGCCTAAACAATATTCTTGCAATGACCTATCAATAAGTCACGCAAAGACCTATCAACTAGTCACACAATGTTAAACCCTAATGCAATCATGCACAGCATAAGTGATGCCATGCCTAAATCTAGTCATGCTGTTACGCAATGACCTATCAATCAATCATGGAATGACTTATCAACCAATCACGCAATGTTAAACCCTAATGCAATCATGCACATCCTAACCCTATGCCTACATCCAGTCATGCTGTCATGCAATGACCTATCAACCATTCTTGCAAAGACCTATCAACCAGTCACTCAATGTTAAACCTTAATGCAATCATGCACCCTCTAAGTGATCCCATGCCAAAATCCAGTTATGCCTAAGGTGCCAACCAAGTAAGTAAGCCCTCAGTCATGTAATATCTAAACCCTAAACCCAATTCCTTTCAAAGGGTCATAACACATACATATCAACTAGTCACGCATGCTCGGTCACCTATCGACCCCAACAACACCAATAATACCACCTTCATGTTTATATTCAACAATTTCAAATAGCAAGAATATCAAGATGAACAAGAAATATGCATAAGTTTCTGCTCAAAAACCATAAATGAAAAACATGAAGAATAACAATAGCCCTAAAAACATTTCTCCACATGGTTCAAAATAAAATAAATATATATTATACTTTTATCCGTGTAATGTAAACTTTCTCTCACTGCTCAATATGTGAACTACCTTTATGTGAATAATAACCACTCTAAAATGCTTCTACCACTGTGAAAAATGCTCGAAAGTTGAATTGGCAAGGAATACTTTTAATAGAATTGCTTTTGAGGAGATGTACGGTCTACTGATGAGAACTGAAGAGTTACACACCTTGTAAACATGCTTGACCCGTTAATAGGTTTTAGGTTGAGACGCGGAGCCAAACAAATAGGTAGATTTCATTAAGGATAATTTTGTCCAAGTTTTAATTCTCTTGGCTAAAAATAGTTAAAATTATAAAGAATCCTATTGTCAGAAATGCCTTATGCATGGAGCCCATTTAAAAAAAAAAACTCATAGTGAATTTAATTGAGAGTTGATAAAGAGATTTTAGATTGGACTAAGATTTCAATAGTGTATGTTCACATCACTTAGGTGATCTGATATGCGAATTAGGTAAACATACGCCAATTGTCATACATAGCCAATTAGAACACTAGCTTAATGAACCTTATTTAATTTATTCATATAGATATACAGTGACCCAATTAAGTTAGGTGCTTGTGCAAGCATCTCGACGAAACCTGTATATAGCTTTAGATTCTAGGTTAGTAAAACCATCCATGAAGGTAAATAATAAGAGAAGCTGATATTAGATGAAATGTTGAATGAACCCATAATCCTAGGTCTTTAGTCTATTGCTTTCTCAACATATTTAATTTTTGTTAATTAATTTAGTGTTTCTTTTAATTTCATTTTAATTAGTTTTTCTTCAATTTTTGGATTATTTAAATAAGATTAATTTGTTCTATAATTTTAATACTTAGTGAGGCTTTAGAAACAAATGCTTGCTGGAATGATAATCTAGACTTACGTGTTAATCTTTCAAGATCAAGTCATAAGACCCTTGAAGGGAAATACCCAAATTGTTTATTCAAGATTAAGTCATAAGACCCTTGAAGCGAAGTACATAAATTGTTCATTGTTCATTCAAGATCAAGTTATAAGACCCTTGAAACAAAGATTGAAGAAATTAATAAGAAGACATTCTTGATTGCAAAGAATCCCAAAGATTATAAACTCCACAACTAATAAATAAATTGTAATTTGTCTCCAAATTTTTAGTTCAATTTTCAATGCAAAGTTTGTGTGTAAGTACCAACATGTTAAGAACCTAATAGTCATGACTAAGTGGGGAATTAAATTGAAAATTGCAAAAGATTTTTTGAACTCCAAGGATTTAATTGGAAGAGTTCAATTAGATTGGGGTCATTTTATAAATAAACATAAAGATTATGTTAATCCTATTAGGGTAAGGATTTATGTAATTACCTATAAATAGGAGTCTTAGAACTGTAAATAATACACAACTGCTTTGAGAAAAGCAATCGGAGATTCTTAAAGTTCGAAAACCGAAAGTCTCTAACTGGCACTAGAAACTGCTCTCTCCTAAAGAGTTTTCCCTAGTTTGTGTGGATTTTCATTAGAGACTTGGCATTTAGACAGCTTGTGGTTTTCAACAATCCCAACTCATTGGTACTTGTAGAATTTTGCTAGATCTAGATGTGGAAGTATAAACCTCCTTTCTTAGCTAGACGAAATCGGCATTAAGTATCTAGACATTGATCTCAATTTGAGAAAAAAATTTAAAATTTGGCTGCATTTTACTTAATTATTTTGCATGATTTCCCAATGGAATATTCCTACAGAAGGATGAACTTGTGCTACATGTGTTGAAGAAAAAGAAAGCAATAGGGATTACAAAGGTAGAAGCTAATAAGATTTTTGAATTAGCAAGGAAAATTTCTTGAACTTGTGCTGAAACAATTGAAATTTACAATTGAACTCTGATGATTTCTCTTATTGCCCACTTGCACAATAATCGACGACAAGAAAATTCCTTAGGGTAGAAAACAAGATGGTTTTCATACGAATTCTAGCTACCTATCGCTTTTGTCCTAAGCTTCCAATGGTTCAACTAAAAAGCGCTGCATATAAAAGCTGGTTCCAGGTATCTGGCAAACCCGGAAGACACCAGTGGCTACAGTCTGTGCCACTGTGTATGCCGCTGTATGCTGATGGGTGTGCGTCTTTCCGATACTGTGAGAGTGCTGTAACGTCGAGCAAATACACTGGTTTCTTAATCCTACTGAGGACCTTCTTCAAAACAACCCAAGCCATGGGTGTGCCTGCTGGGTATCTAATGCCAAAGAATGGTTGCTTCTGTCCTGAACATGATTGTGTCGGCTCGTTCCAATCCTTTCCTCTACATTTGTTTATATTTGTTGGTTAGTCTTGCCAACACCCACAATCAACATCATAATTAAAAGTCTCAAACAAAGAATTTTAAATATATATATATATATATATGTATATTCATGCAACAGGTACATAGGCAAAAGATGAAAGAAAGCTTCGCACTACGTTGGCTCATAAGTAAATTCGAAAACACTATAGGAAAACCAATTTTTCCCTTTTACGGTTAACATAGGAAAACTAATTTGTTGCTGCTCATTATGAATTAAGCTAAAACACAAAACAAACCTTACTACTTAATTCCTTTTTCATGCAAGTCCACAGCTTCTCATTATAATCAATTGAGTCTTTTAACATTTATTTAGAACCAATCAAATCCTTATTAATATGAATGGAAACTGCTACATCGATTAACCTCCATTAACCCTTTTTGCTAGTCGAGATAAAATTGTGACGAAATATAAATGACGTACAATGAACTTTTTCCTATGATATTAATGAAAAAAAAAACAAAAGAACTTATATATTTGATACATATCTTTTAATGCAATATGCAAAATTTATTCTAAGTCATCCATATCACGTTGTTTTAATTGACAAAGATGATAAGCATTATTAAACCATTTTTCATCAAATAAGAGTTTAATTGAGTGTGAATAACATTTGTGAGGTTTAATTACTTGTAGTATAAAAAAATGACTTTGAATATAAATTTAATTAACTACAAGAGCTTTTTTTTTTTTTGTATTTTCGTTTATGAATTATATTTTGGATTGATGAATCTATGGGAATATAGGATGAAGATAAAGTTAGAAGTTGTTTCCCGCCTTTTGACTGTAATCTTGTTCTTTCCATTCCGCTTAGCAAAAGGCTACCAAACGACGGACAAATTTGGTTTGATAATAGGAATGGAGAATATTCAGTGAAGTTGGGGCATAGATTGCTAAGCTACTCAACCGTTGGTATGGATGGAGCAAACTCTTCAAATAAATTTTCTACTGTATGGAAAAAGCTTTGGAATTTAGTTATTCCTAGAAAAATTATCATTTTTCCTTAGAGATTTAAGAGGTACTCTTCTAACTCGGATTTCACTGATTAGGAGACATATTAATGTAGAGGAATGTATATTCTGTGGGTTGAATGTTGAAACTGAATTTCATTGTTTACACTGCTGCAATTTCGCAAGAGCAGTTTAGTTGGCAACTCATTAGGGCTTTAAGAACTAAAGAATGGCGCCTATTGAAGTGGTAAACCTGGGGTATGATATGCCTAGGCAATACCAAGAGGTGAACTGCTCTAATCGATTATCACATTAACAGAGGTTGCTACCAAATGAGAGGTGAAGCCAACCGAATGGATCTAAACTCAACTCTGATGCTACTATTTTTGACAAAGATGGACGGGCAATGATGGGTGCAAGGTTTATAGTGAGAAATGGCAACGGTGAGTTGATTATTGCGGGGTGTAGAAGCTGCATACACAATTTCAGTATTGTAGAGGCAGAACTGAAGGCACTGTCATGGGCCTTAGCGATTTGTGTGGAAAACAATATTCATGTAGCTGAGATTGAGTAGGATCATAAATTGGTGGCTAACTGGGTAAACGACAAGAAGTTGATAAGAGTATCATGGCATCTTGTGGAAGATTGTTCCGAATTAACACAAGGCATGAGTGTCCAGACAGTTAACTTAGCACATAAAGAAACTAACGATGCAGCTCATTTGATTGCAAGGTAGGCAAAGGAAATGAGGGAAGATTTGAAGATGTGGAGGGACGTTTCTGTATTGCCGTCCACCATAAAAGGTATCGTGCTAAAAGATGTTATGTCCATGAATGAACTGAGGTCTCACCATGGGGATTTAGATATACATGGATAGTTTGGGTACTCTTTATTCCTATCACATGGCTTTTATCTCAATAGGTTCTTTTCATTTTTAATGATGCTTAACTTTCATGTTATAGGAACATTGTGGGTTAATTTCTTATATAATCTGATCTATGTAGATGCTCACGATGTTACTGAGTTTGATGAAGTAAATGAAATTCGTCTTCTTTCCAAAAGATTAAATGAAAATTTTGTTCATTATCGTAATAATGAAACATAATCATAATATGAAATTAAAACATAAATATTAGAAAGAGAAAAGGAAAAAGACAAAGACAAGAGAGAAATAAAATATCTCATCATCTATTATGGTATTTTAACAAAAGTTTATAATTATTGTAATTTTTTATTGTTTTAAATGTTTTTATCCAAATATTATAATTTAAAATAAATTAAAAAATAATATATTTGACGAAAATAATTTATAATTTCGAAAAATGAAAATTACATCACTCACAACATAGCATGAAAAACTAATAATGAAAACATAATTTCCAAATATTGAATATTAAATCCAAATGCTTTTTATTTTATATTTTTATAATAAATGTGTATAATTAAATTAATTTTTAAACTTATAAATATTAAAAATCAACGAAAAATATTGTTGGAGAATAATTGAATAGAAGAGTTGCTTACTCATAATGCGTCGGAGAAATCCCCTGGAAAAAGACCTTGGTTTTGTAAGGATCAACGTTGCGGTTGACCCATCTGGCCCAAGTTGTCAGTCCTTTGTAAAATGCAATTATACGGTTCATGTCTTTGAACGTTTTACCACCGTCCTGTATGTAATCAAATCTGCAGTAAAAACGGTAGCATCATAATAATTTTCTTCTGTATCAATTTTTCAATTATTATAAAACTTTAGAGTTGGATTAGATTATCTCAATTCAGTGATGAAATCAGAATTTTAAATTTGAAAAAATTAAAATAAAATATTTAATATTTACAGATAAAATTATAAAATTTTTAAAAAATTAAGAATAAAATTATAAATATTTAAAGCAAAACAAAAAAATATTATAAATTTTTTAGACGAGGCTCCTGCTAGCCTCTCCCTCCGCCTCTGGTCTAATCTGACGATATTACTTCACTAAAATTAATTTTTAATTTTAATTTTAAAATATACTAAAAACAGTAAAATATTAATATTATTTAATTATAAAATTTAAAATAAATGGGCAATAAAAACCGAACTCCTTTTTTGGGTTTAAAAGAGTAGATCCATCGGGTTTAACGTGAACCTAGCCCAGCAGATAAAAGCGAAATTGATCTTACGGTTGGGTTCTCCCTGTGTGAGTCCACCAATGCCACGTGTTAAAGATCAGCATGTCCATGCCTATCCATGCATCACCACTCTTGATTGAGTCCAGCTTCAGGACTCTTCCAACCTCCTCATTCACTACGTCAACTAGGTACGGGGTCCTATATAGCAATATCTTTACTGCATAATCCTGAAAAATAAAATATAAAAAAAAAATGAAAACATGTAGTGTTTCAGGTGTAAATATTCTTCTATTTCTTAAAATTCTACTTCTGATCCAAAAGTTTAATATTTAAAATAAAATTTTTCAAGTCTAATTAGTTCCAACTGTATATCTAATTAAAAATACAAGATAGCATTAAATGGTGAGTAAAAGAGTATAGACACGCAACCAATTTCAATGAAGCATGTGGAGATGCTAGTTTAATTGTATCAACTTCGTGATGAATATGCAAATTGTAATTGCATGACTGATAAGTGCTTGAATTCTCAAAGAAGATAGTTCAAGAAGTTTGGACAAACCTATACCTGTCAGAATGCCATCTCTTTCCCTAAGCTTAGCTTGTCATCTCTAATTGGGAATGGAATTAAGGTGGGCCAAATTTGCCACAAGGAAGAAAAGCCGTGTAAGCAGAGAACTCACAAAACTAGCCCACGGCCCCTTTGAAAGTTGAATTGAAACGCCTACTGATCACTGTTATCTTGTATTACCCAATATGTAAGTTCTGACTCACAAGTCAACAAATAAATAAAAGTAATGCTAATTTGCTGGACAACTAAAACTCAATCCTAATATAGTTGCTTCTCATAAGCACTTTAATATTTTTTAACATATTTTCCAGCAAATAGATACCAAAAAGTATTAGCAGTACATACCAAGTTGTCAATGTGGACTATTGACTAACTACAGTTTAGACTTTATTGGATTTCAATTTGGACCAATTGAATTAATTACACATTTATTATTCCAATTAAAGTGTACAAATTAGTATATAAAGGAAAATAATGTACAATTTACATTCTAAACTTTCAAATAATAGACCATGTTAACCTAAACTCCGACACCCTTAACTTAACTGGCTTATGTGGCATCTAACTAGTATAAGTCATGTGGTACATCATATGTCAACTAAAATTAGAAATATTTTTGTGGAAATTTCAAGTGGATGCCATCCGGATGTCAGGTGGCATCCAACAATTGACCGATCTTGGACATTATTTTTATCGTCCAAGCAAAGAAAAAAAAAAGATGATTAGTAAGAAGAAAAAAAGAAAATAATTTTGTTTTAACTTTTAAAAAGACATCATTAGATTGGAATAATAAAAATTATGCAAATAAAACAGTATTAATAAAACGAAAGAAGTGCATAATTTAAAAATTCATAATATAAATTGCACATTTTTCTTCAAATACCCATTTATATATTTCATTAAAAATTTAAATATGAAATATGTAATTAACTCTTCCAAATTCTATAATAAAATGATCAAGATCAGAAGAGATTTAACGGTAGGATTTGGCTTTGTTGGTGTTAAAAGGATCTTAAAAAGCACCGACAGTTAAAGTGCCACGTCGGGTTATACCGATCGAGAAAGTGCAGCGTTTCGATATTTAACATTTCACATGTTTTGAGTAATCGATAACCACGGAAATATAACAGCCTGACATGTCCCCGGCAAAAGCAAGGCCGTCCACCAATCACGCTCCCCTTTTAATGCTCACAAACCAAATTAACTCCAGCCTCCATGGCTCACTCTCAGGCACTTTGATTTTAACAAAACAGAGCGCTGTTTAATATTACGGAAAAAACTGGCGTTCTTTGAATCTATGGAGTACCAATTTGGACCATGTTAATTATATTTTGCATTTCGAAAAGGAATTAGTATTATGCCTTCCAAACCAATGCACCGAAAAAAGATATGAATCCACCACAAGCATAATGATACTGCTCTGCTGCAGCTAGCAGAATATAGTTTAGACAATGAAAAACTTTACCTTGTCAAAAGATTGAAAGAGAAGGGGACAAGACATGCATGCACAGATTCAAAGCAATGAGCAATCATTAAAGGGGGGCAAAAGAAACAGAGTTCAGACAGCAGATAAGCAAGAATCAAAAGTGGGAAGCCCACTGATGACTAACCTGAAAGGTAACTGAAGTAAGGCCATCTCTTTTGATGTATGAAATCTTGGAATTTGGAACCCAGGCTTGAATCATACACGTTAACGACTGGAATTGGTTCAAGCTGAGTGAGTCACCCACGAACATGATCTTCTTTCCTCTCCATTTCTCCAAGAAATACAGCCCATTAAACCTGCAATTCGAAACATCGTGAACGTTTTAAACCACATAATAAATAATTGAGGTATATCTAGGCAAATATAAATTATTATTTTTATTATTATTATATAGGTACATGGTCATCTGTCTCGCCATCTGAAATTGTGGCGGAAAGGACTCTGAGTCTCTGACCTGGGAATGCTACAGGAGAATGGTTGCCATCTATACTTGAGATACATGTTATCAGGTCGGCCATATTTTTTGCAGTCGAATTCTCCATCGATGAATGGACATTTGGAGGCGTCGTAGAGAGGATATGAAGGGTCATATACCCATTTCCCTCTGAACCAGTTGCAGTTAGAAGCTAATAAACTTCTGGCGGCACTGGCATTGAAATCCTCAGCTTTTGTTGGTGAGCGGTGTAAAAACAAAAACAAAAACAGGAAGAAGAGCAGGGCTTTGAAGAGGAAATCCATATCTTGGGTTTCGTTACTTTCCTCAGACTGTTAGAGAAAAGGACGAGGAGTGAAGGAAAAGTTGTCTGCCCAGCAGGGTTTATATAATGAGGGAAAGAGAGAGAAAAAAGAAAAGAGCTCCACATGGAACTGTACTCCATCATGATAGATAAGTTTAATTTATTTTCTTCAAAACAAGATGGGTGAAATCTTTGGATGGATTCTTTTCACTGTGCCATGTGGGGTTGGATCCAATCCATTACTTTGAAAAATAGGAATCATAGTGAGTTTGATTCTAAAATAATGGGAAACCTTTTTCCTTACCATATGCTACCAAAGGTTCCTTTTTTTCCCCTCAGTCGGGGATTCAAATTCATTTTTCTTTTTCACTTCAATTTTCTCAGAAAATAAAATATTACACTCTCTTGGTTTGCTACTTGTATGCGTCCCATTATTTCTTGTTCATTTTCCTATCATGAAAAATTTGTTCATCATTTAAGTATGCAAGAGTGCAGAGCATATATTAATGTCAGAGCTGTATCACTTTTATCCCAATTAAGACACCATTGATTATGTCTTTATATCAACTCCATCATGATTGATTGTTAGCCCCTTTTTTTTATATAAAAGCAAAAAAGGTTGTTAGTTAGTGCTTATTAAGTTTATTTATATTTTCCACCATTTATTTGTACAAATTTTCCAGCTTTTCAAAAGTCAGAATAGAATAAGAGTTTGATTTTAACAGAAAAGAAGAGGCGGGAGCTTAAAAGGCTCTCAGCTTTCTCAACTTAGGTCAATAAAAACGGGCAAACACCCTGAGCCAAATCCAATGAAAACTGGGTACTCCTTGCCTCCATATTTTTGTTCCATAGCAAACTAGCTTGCTTGTCATCTTGTTGTTCTTCCTCGTAATGGAACACAATGAGCAGTAACGACTGAATACTCGGTTGTTATCTTGCAAGCATTATTACATATTTCAATATTTATTAGTTTGTTTGTAGTGCATTATCTACTCCTTCATGTCAAACTGATACTATTTAATTTCTAAATGACATAGTTTTTGGAATGAAGAATTCTGTCTCTACTGCATAACCGTTGCCCTTCCAAGTATTATAAGTTAAGAGGGTCCCATAAAAAATGAGATTATAGCTTTAAATTTAACAATCTATCATGCGTGTGCTTATGCTGTGTGTGCGTAAGAAATGAGATTAATTTAACATTTTATATGTGTACAATGCACAAATAGCATACGCACACACATGTTTGGGGATGTAAATAAGTATGATATCAGTTTTTTAAGTACCTTGTTCAGAATCTATTTAATTGAAAAGATATTTAAATCCAATTAATTAAAAATTGAATAAAATTATAAATATTATCCAAAATCGAATCTTAATAATATAGCAATATCCACTAATTACTTAATCCATTAAATACATAATTAAATAACTCAAATAAATACTTAAATAATTTAAAATTATACAAAAATTAATTCTATATTTATATATTTTCAAAAAATATAGTTGGTTGAGATGCTAAATGTTATGTTAAAGTAAGGAGGATAAAGGTTTGCATCTCACAAATTATAAATTTTGATACCTGAACTCAAGTCCAGTATTAAAAGCATTACTCAAATTCGTCCAATAATCGAATAGAAGGTATTTGAACCTTATATTATTTGGTTGAGTAGCTACAAGATGCTCATATAACAGCAACTCATTTATCCTAAACATTATTTTATAGAGTTAAATATCCACGGGTGCCCATATAACAATAACTTATTTACATCCCTATTATGATAGAGTTTTTATTTCAATAAAGACTTGTCTTGACGACATTGATCAAGCGGCCTTAGAATCTTTATGTCCCAACTTCGCCCTCATCTGGGTAGCTCTGGTTTAATTTGACGTTGAATTGGTAGTTTGTTTAGTATGTTAATTAGTTTGAATATTAGATGTAATAGTTCTATTATATATATTGAGATTTTTATTATTACAATTAATTTTAATTTAACTGTGATTTTAATCTTATTGGACAATAAATAGAGTTCTTATGTCTAATTCATTAAAAATTATAATTAAATTAGTCATGTATTAAATTGATTTGATAATATGAATCGGAGAATTTATAAAAATAAAAAGATAAAACATAATATGGAATCAATCATTTAAAAATAATAATTTAATTTTGCTAAAAATTTAAACCAACTTCGTACTATCAGCTCCTTCTTTCCCCTCCTTGCAATGTCTCTTACAATTTTAATGGTAAAAAAAGTTTTAAGGATATTTCGTGTACACGTGTAAAGTGTTAAAGTTTGAAGGGGGACCAGAGTTTTAATGGTTCCTCACCTGCTTCCCTTGTTTGCTTGTTCAATTGAAGTCATCTTCAAGTTTAATGTTGGAGAAGTAAAACAAAAGCATAACCTTGTAGGGTCAAATTGTGAGTTGTCATCCATTATGATTTGATTCTTTTTAATTTTTCATCCAAAATATGTACATTTGAGAATACTAATTTTTAATAAATCTAAGAATGCTTGGTTTTCAATTCACTTGTAAGACTCATATATAGCCTTATAGTTTTTGTTTGTAAGTAGAATTACAAAGAAAAAAAAGGTATTTATAAATCTATCTTTATCAGTCAATTCATTTTTTATATTAATTTTGTATCAATATAGTTATATCCATCAATATCTATATTTTATATCTTTATGTATGCTATATCTAAATGTGGCTTAACTTGTGAAACTTTTGTGAAAACAAAAACATCCTTCCTATTTTATTATTTTATTTCTAGTAATAAGGTATATATTTACTTAAACTACTATTTTGCTTGCAAGTTACTGCAGATTTGTAAATTTTTTTATTTAAATAATATTTTATTTTAGAAAATATTTATATATTTTTTGCATATATTAATATACACTAATATTAATAAACTTTTGTCTTTTTAGTCTGATATTTTTAATAATGAAATTAAATTAAAATTAAAACACCGAATATATTGAAAGTAATTATTCATAAATTTTATAATTTATATCATGATCATGCTTGTAGATGTAATTTATTTATCATTTTATTTTTAAAAAGTATTTATGTATTTAAATATATAACATAACATATATTAATTTCATGTCATAAAAGAATATATTAATGCTTTGGTTTTAAAACATTAATTTCGTAAAAACTTGATTCTGTTATTTATAACAAGATCATAAATTATATCATATTTTATTTAAATAAGTATATGTAAGCATATTATATTGTTTACATAATATAGAACAAATAGAGGTTTTAAAAACATTTTCACAAAATATTAATAATTAATATTAATTGAATATGTTTGTTTTTTGTCACAATAATCATATTATTGTAGACTGATTTTTAAGTTATTCATTTACTTTTTCTAATTAAATAATTATTCAATTTATTACATAACCTTTTTTTAAAAAAATTATTATGGATTATTATTTCTTAAAAATGATCAAATAATCATTTTATTTTTTTTATTGTTGTTTTTTACTGGTTATTGATTGATTTATTTACTTAACAAACTAAATAGTATCCTTGACTTTAAATAACATAAAGTTGCATCTTTGGAGAATTTTCCAAATAAATAATTTTGTTGTTTAATTGTGAAACCCCACACTTTAAGTGTAGATTAATTAAGTAAAATCTTACTTGGTGAGCAATTTAAACATGTTTTTAATTTAAAGATCTTGACCTTTTCTCTAGAAAAGTCTAGATTTCAAGTTTACAAACATATGTGCTTATTGGAGAAAGTTGTGGCTCAGAGGAATGAGTTTTCGAATAAGATTTTACATTTTGGACCATAAGTATTGATACATGATGAATAAGTATAAATATTTCTTATCTAGAAAGCTTTTAAAAGGATTTTGATGAATAAGTATCGATACTTGAAACCTCAAAAACTCAAGTACTAATACCTCCCCCAAAAGTATCGATACTTGTCGCTATTTACATAAAAATAAAAAAGGTGAAATAGCATTTTCCTTCACCAAAAACTCAAGTACTAATCACCTATTTTCACTTTTCCTCTCAACTTTCAACCCTCGCTTACACTCTTTCACCAAAATTGCCATTTTTAAAGATTAGAGCTCAGTTTTGGATTTTCTAACCATTGAAGGTAACATTTTTCAACTTTAAGTTTTCAAACCTTGGATTCACAACATTGGTTTTAGCTTTTTCAATAGATTTTGTGTTCTCTTGAGGGATTAGAAATTTATAAAAGTATTACTCTGTTTTGGCTCACTAAGGTAAGGAAATAACAAGGATTTAAATGCTTATTTTATTAACTAGTTGAAGAACAGTGAATTTAAGCTAGAAAGTTAGATTTAAATGAACTTGACTAGTTTTGAATTAGTGTATGATGATTACTACGTGATTTATAGCTTAAGTAATGATTATAATATTGTTGAATGCTTTAGGTGCTATCAAAACTCCTAGGAATTCACTGGAGTGAAGTCTCACTTGTTGATAGAGGTCGAGTATTTGAAGGTAAACAGATAATACACCTTTTCAAGTATTTTCCTATGTAAAGTCGAGCATAATTAATTGAAGTGTTTGTCTTATGAGATTCGAATACTATTTCTATAGCAATTATTCAAATGTTTAAATCCAAATATTTTTCAAGAAAGTTTATGAATCTACTATGTATGTAAATATTTTACTATATATTACTTTTCAACAAGAAAGCAGAAGACCTTTCAATGTTTTCCTTCAAATTGGGTTCAAGATAACATAATGAGTATGAATTGCATGTATGTTAGATGAATGCTTAGTTGGATGTAGATATTCTCACCCATGAGCCTATGGAATAATTATGTGATATGTACTTAAGCATGTAATGCATGTTATTTGAGATTAGTATGTGATGTAGTTCCACATACCTTATGAGTTAAGCATAAGTATAAAGTATGAACCTTAGCAAAGAATGATTTATGCAATAATGATGATACAAAATATGGAAATGTTATACCTTATGTAATATAAAAAGCCATGATGTGGGGCAAATACCACACACAGAGTAAATCCAAGATAGGGTGGTCATACCCTATCCATTAT